TTGGGAAAAGAAAGCACTCTGAGGGCAGGGGACATGCACAGCCTGTGGTGGCTCAGGGAGGGGAAGCAGAGATGACCGAGGGACCCCGGAATTAATGGATGTTGAAGTGTTGGTAAGATTTTAAAAGTAGGGATGGGGGCCTTCCAGGCCCGAAGTCAAGATAATCACAGGCTTTCAGAGAGGAAAGAATGACAAGATGCCATACTGTGAAGTAGTCCTGGTGCCTCCTTATGTTATATTATTAGGTTTTGCCTCTGATTTGACTTTCTCAGAAGCAGTACTATTTATTTCATCATAGTTTTCAGAAAAGAGCAATGGAAAATTATGAAATGGCCCCATCCACAAAGGACACAGCAGAGCTGCATGTCCTACACCACGCTCCTGGAAAGTGTGTGCTGGTCACTCCCAGGTCGCCAGATGGCTACGCTGATGGAAATCAGCATCTGACAAGTGTCTGCTGTTGTCCAGGTGCTGAGGAGCTGGGTAAAGATGTCAGGCTGGTCCTCACGGCCCTGTGCAGGGAGGAACGACGTACCCCATCACTCCTTGGGAAGAAAGGGCTACTCTATGAGTGACATGACATTAAAGGGCAGGCTAATTCATTGTAAAAGAAGAAGAGATCAAACAAAGAGGCCCTGCCACTGGAGTGAGAGCTCCTGTAGGTCTCTACAGGCCTGGCAAGAGGAGATTCACTGTGAGGAAAGATTGACCCTGCATTATTATTAACAATATTTTCTGATTATATTATTGACCAAGGAGATGGAATTGTACCTTCCCATGTAAGCATTGCCCAGTCTGGTGTAAGTACGTTCATTTCCAGTTGTGAAGAACAGAACAAGCAAGTTAATAATGTTCATCAAAAAGCGTGGTGCTTTCTCTTTGTGTTAGGTACAGGTATCTTCTGTATTGTTCACGGAGGTTTCTTACATGAAAAATAATTTTCATCGTGCAAATTTATTTTCACTCACTCTTTGGCCTGTGATGGATTGATATGGAAACACTCTATCTGTAGTTATAAAAATGCATGCACTCTGCCTTGCTTGCTGGCACTTTAGTCCATTCAGGGACATAACTGTGTTTCTCCTGCAAATTCAGGAAGGACGCCAGCCCTTCAGAATCCCTGATTTCACTCCAGTTCATGTCCCAAGGGGGCTCCTGTGTCCATTCAATAGACAATTATTATAAAATGTTATCAAATATACTATAAAAATAGAATGGTCACTTTGATAAGGTTTTTGTTTTTTTTTTTTACATTTTTATGTGAACTGCTTCCTAAAGGCTTGTGTAAAACTGTTTTTCCAGCAGTTCTATTGCTTCACAATCTTTATTATGATTATCTATACTAATAGTCATTCACCATGTTCTTACTGGGAAGTTCTTTCAAGGTTACACAAAGAAAATGTAGAAATGAATCTATTACAATCCATTTCTGAATGATTCAAAGACTGGAACACAAAATGGAGAAAACGAGTTCTTTGTAGATTTTCTCAAGTGCACAGAACAAAGACACAGGTTCTTTCTTAGTTTGTCACCTCTGTGTGTTGCGTGAAGTTAGTAATTGGAGAAAGTCAATAGCATTTATTTACATGCATGGATATAGCATTATATGTGAAGAGTTTGAATACTACAAGTTGTCTACAAGGTGGCTTATTCTATGACTCTCCGTCATCTGTAACAAAAGGGATGGAATTGGAGATCGCTGCCTGAGGTCAACTACAGAAGGAGAAATACCACGTGATCGCACTAGTGTATAGGAACAAAAGTGTTGCTCAAATGGAGCGGACCGTAGGGAGTGGTGAGCAGAGGGTGGGAAGAGTAAGAGAGACGCACAGGTGGCGGCAGGCTGACCAGGGGGCAGTAAATCGCTGGCAGGACTCAGAAGTCCTTCTTTGCTACTGCACGGTGGAGTGACTATCGAAAGCAGCTGTGTGCTTCACATTTTGAAACATTAGAAGAACGTACACATTTTCACCCTAAAGAAACGATAAACATTGGAGGAGATGGAGATGTTGACCTTGATTTGAAATTTACACAACGTTTACGTGTATGGAAACATCACAACAACCCGAAATTATGCACATTTTATGTTTTTAGGTTTCAGTTAAAAGTAAATTTAGATAAAGAAGAAGCCTACTTCCAACTTATTGACTAAGATATATCACATTAACACAATCACAAGAGAACTGATTGACTATATTAGTGTGGGAAAAAGTTGAATTCAAAACAGAAATATTGCCAGACACAAAGAGGGACGTTTGGCAGAAGCAAAGAAATCACTTCAGCAATAGATACATATTTTAAATGTGTATTCACCGAATAGTAGAGCTTAAAATACTTAAACAAAACATTTACACAACTGTAGAGAGAAGTAAACTGTAGAGAGAAAATCTCTCTCAGAGATTAATTAGTTGGATATAAATTAACAATACTACCCACCAAGTGATCAAATTGTCATTTATGGAACACGCCATTTGAGAGACATATAATACATCCTCTTTCAAATTCGATTTGTGTTTTCAACAAATATATACCATAAGCAGTACTGTAAAACAGGAGTCAGAGTTGTCTCTGACTTCAATAGGATTGTGTTAAAATAGAAATATCCAGTATCTTGAAAATCCCCTGGTGATGAGAACTGAACATTACACTTCTGAATAATTGACCTGTACAAGAAGATATATCAAAAGGGAAATGGCAAAATATTTTGAATTGAATGATAATAAAGGAACACAACTGATAAAATAGCAAATACCAACTTGTATGATTTATGTAAAATTTTATTTAGAGGAAAATTTATAGCTTTGACCTTGGAACAGATTTTTAAAGATATAAATGAAGGGGCTGAACCATAAACAGAACATGGTAAATGGAGCTTCAGCAAAATCAGAAACTTCTCCTTTTGGGAAAGTCTTGTGACACCTTCCAGTTTTGGGCTTCTGCATGGCTTCTAGTAAAAACTGATTCTGTCACTGTATTTGTAGTAATTTACTACAGCAATAATAGGAACAATGTTTAAGGGCTGACAACTGAAATAAAGATCATGAAAAGTAGTTTTACAACTCAATTATAAGAAGATCACTAAACTAATTTAAAAACTGACAAAGGTTTGAGCAGATGCTACACAAAGCATATGCAGGGAAGCTGTTCAATGTCATCAGCCATCAGGGAAATGTGGAAAATGCTAGTGCACATTACTATAATGGCTAAAATTTAAAATGCATGCCATAGTGTATGCTTTGGATTAGATATGGAGCCATCTGAATATGTATAAACGACTAGGGACTGTGCAATGCTATTATTGTAGGTAGCTAACTTATTTAGAAATAGATAGGCCCTTGAAATGTCCGCACAGAAGACAACTGTGGGTGGACACACCTGCCTTGAAGGTCAACCCTCAGGACAAATAGGAATGACTACACCCATCTGCTTCCCCTAGGGATGAACCACAGTGACTGATGTTCTAAACAGGCATCGATCACCTTGCGGGGAAGACCAAACCTCCTTACCCACCCCTGGCAGGACAGCCTTTGTTCCTTCCACTTATGCTTGCTTCCCCGTTTGATCCTGTGTAATCAGTATCACCTAAGCTACCGTATTCCTACACTTACTGACTGACCATAGTTTTGTCCCACCTTGTGATTTCCCATCGGATCAGTATTACCTAAGTGATTATACTTGTAATCTTATTAGTTACCTATAGTTTAACCTTGCCTTACATTTGCCTCACCTCATGGGTTTGCTCTATAAAACTCGCTTGGGAAGAGGGTTCCCCAGGCCACCCACCCAGGACTCTTCTGTCTCTTTTAGAAGCTTTCTTTCTCTCAATAAATTCTTCCTACTCTTAAACTCCATTGTTCCTAGCATTAATTCTTTGATTTTAGAGAACATGAACTCAGTGTGTCAAACATCTAGGAGGTCAGGAGTTATCTTTCCCTTCCATTAGTTGGATTATCTTACATTCTATATCAATATAACCACTTTGCAAAATATTTTGTAAGATTTTTTAATAAACATATACTTGCCATATGACCCTGTAACTTTACATTCATGTTTTAACTAGAAACAAAATTGATCATGCAATTGTCATCTGCTTATGTATTTTACTGATCTGGCAACTTTGATGTTTTCAAAATTATTACTTTGGCAAAGTACTGATCTCTTTAGTTTGAGAACTGCTAAGAGGACACTATTTTCATAGCACATTGGCATAAGTGTTCATTACGACGTCCAGCTGCTCCCAGATGTAACCTGTGGCTTTCAACTCGCTGTGGTCTGAGTGGGTGTGCCCTCCCTCCCACGCTAATTTTCAAGTCTAAAGTGATGGCCCTCGAAGGAAGGGCCACAGGGAGGGGATTATGTCATGAGAGAAGAGTCCTTGTGAGGAGAATCAGTGCCCTTAGAGAGAGGCTCAAGACAGTCTCCTGTCCTCCTCCACCACACTGCAAGGTGGCTGTCCACACACCAGGAAATAGGCCTTCACTAGACAGTGATTCTGCTGAAGCCTTGGTCTTGGATTTCTCAGCCTCCAGAACCCAGAAATAAATGTACGTATATCGTTTGTAAGTGACCTAGTTTATGGTATTTTGTTAGAGCATCCCAGTTGCGCTAAGTAGCACCTGTTAACAGTTGACATTTATCCCAATTGGACTCATTTTGAAAGTTTCTGACTTGACTTGCAGCAAGTTTCTGACAATCTTAATTTAGGACCCATTAGAGCAGACAGCAGCAGGTGTCTCCGCTTCTACCCACCTAACCAGCTCGCACATCAGCCAAACTGGCTCCTGGTGTGTTTATGCAAAAACTGCCTGGAGTTAATGCATCACAACCTAACAGGGAAGGAAAAGGAAGTTGTGCTTGGAAAGTCAAATCAAACTAAAACAGAAAGGATACTGTCTTTCTAATAATGTAGAAGTTGGTACCAACTTTCATGGTTATAAAACTGTCAGTATAAGGTAAATGAAAGCAAAACAAACAACTTTGGTTACGTTATTTCTCTGAAGGTCCGGATCCCTGCTGCTACACTGTGCAATGAAGAGGTTGAAGTCTGAGGCCGTTCTCTGGTTTCATCCAGCTGTTTATTCTCGGGAAATTACGTCACTTGTCTGCGCCTAAATTTCTTCACATATAAAGTAAAACTTTATCTAATTTTCTAATCTAGTTTTATTTTTTATTTAGTGAGAAGGAAAATCCTTTAGTGAAAGGTAGAAGACTATTTATACAAGTGCAAAGAACTGTACTAACTGTATTTTCACTTTCCCAGTGAAGAGTGTTGTTGATATATATAGCACATATTTTACTTCTAGCAGTAAAGTTTAACTAGTAGTTTGAAATTATTTTGTTGTTAGGAGATTGTACTAGTTTCATAAATAGAATGGTATGATAAATATTCATTAGTTTCTTGAATAGAATGGTATAATAAATATCCATTATTATTTAAACTATCCAGACCCAGAATCTGGGACTAACATTTCCCCATACTCCACAATCTTTTTCCTCAGAAGAGTTTGCTTTGCAACATGATCATCAGTGATCTATCAACGGACTCAAGCTGGGGCCAGAAAGAGTGGTGAGGAAATGTCTTTCTGACAATTGAGGTCATAAGATGTAAGATTTTGGAACTATTAAAATTCATGTTTTGCTATAAAGCAAAAAAAAATGTTAAACTAGGGAAAGAATGAAGTAAGCATTCTCAGAAAAATCAAAGTGAAAGAATCAAACACAGCCTGATGGTGGATAGTGACCCAGCCACTCCCGATGCCCTGTGAGGGCTTCTATTCATGGTGTTTCCAAGAATACTCTTAGTTACATTACGTAAATATAGGCTTTCAGTGGCAATAAAATAGCTGTCATTAATGTAATTTACAGTGCACTTGTTTTAAAAATCTCATGCTTCTGTAATATCTTGTGATTTTAAGAACTAGATTACATTTTTATATGATTCTAATATTATCTTCTTCTCTTCCCAATAAGTATAGTCATGCAAACAATTTGACATATAATTTTTTCATCTGACTTAATACAAAGGAAACCCTAAATCATTCCATAGCACACTTCCAAAATATTCTGGAAGGGTGATTGTTAAAACAGATATTTGAACCGAGACGAATGTGTGTACACGCTGAAATGCTGAAAAACGTTATTGCAGTGCACCTGTGGTCTCACACTCCCGTGTTCCTCGATTTCCTCCACACCTGCAATTTTTGCAAGATAAGTAACAATGTAAATATGGCACTTGCAATTAGTTTTTTTCTCCTTCTTGTTAATCTCCTCTCTCCAATGCGGACAGATTATGTTAAGGCTGTCTTTGATGTGTGTGTTGAGATCGTAGGAGATGCATTAGTCTCATTATGGCTTTGACAGTAGTTCTAATACCTCTTTATCATTTTGTCTAGAGTGGTTCTCAAATGGCTCCAGAATAGGACACAGCAACACAGCCATTAGAGTGGAATAATGCTGCTCATAATGGGTTTGCGCCAGGGGTTCCTGGGGTCTAACTTTCTCATGGAAATGTTGAGAGTTTATTTGGATGAGAAGAAATGAGGCTCCGTATTTCAGCTTGAGTCTACAACATGTTGCTGTTGCCAGACCAGCAGGGTATTATTCTTTACTGAGCAGAATACCCAAAAGATGTTTTGCTTGTATTTCCAGATGTTTAACAGTACCATCATAATGATGACTTTCTTTAAGACACAGTTATATAGACAGCGTCCTCAAGAATAAGTAAAATGTATCAACTTTACTATATTATCAAAAAACATTACAGAGATTTTAAATAATACAAACCACATTATTTCCAACCCTTCATAGTAATAAACTACTCTAAATTATAAATTAATTTGATGAAATTATAGCGTAGTGAATGTGAACCTTTTAGAGCTTTCACTGATAGCAAATATCACACTGTGGAACATGTGCCATAGGCTCACCCCAACTGTGTGGAGCCCCTTTGACAGCTTGTAAGGATTTAGAGTCTACTTGGTCAAAAGGCTGATTGAAAAGGAATGCACAAGTATAGTGGGGAGAACTAATATACTCCAGAAATTCAGGGAAGGCCTTACAGAGAAGGAAATTTTAATCAGAGCCAAAGGACGCAGAGAGAGCAAAGTGAGATCAAGATGCTGAAATTTTGTAGGCAAAGGGAGTATTCTGGCAGCTTAGCATTAATAACTGTGTAACTCTTGCTCAACTTAATTTAACTTCTGTAAGCCCCAGCTCCTTCGTTTTAAACATTATGAAAATATTACCTCTTTCCGGGAATTTCCAAGATTAATTAGGATTCTATACATAAAGATTTTAGCATAGTACCTTGCATGCAATAAGTTTCCACTAACGATTAGCTTTGACAGGAAGAAATTGAATGATTTTAGGCAGGGAATGACATGATTAGATTTATATACTTTTAAAGATCACTCTTTCTTAAGTGTTTGAAAGGCTTCATAGAAGAGCAAGACTAAATGTCTTAAGGTCAGTTAGAATAACATTATGTTAATCCAAGAAGGGACAGTGGTGTGGGCAGATACAAGAAATAATAGGTGAAGGCAGGAACAAGACCGAATAGGAAATCCTAGACCCTTCTCACCCCCACAGACATACCGCTTCTGTAATGCCTCATAGACAGATTTCATTTGTGAGAAATAACGAACTAATGGAAAGGCTCTAGGGTTCTGGGAGAATGCAAAGCCAAACCAGTTGAAGCCATCAGGGTCATTCACAATACATTCTCAAGGAGACCCTAGCCCTCAGGCATTGCTGTACAGTCAGGAAGAGAGCCCCTAGCTGCTATCTTACCCATGGGAGAGAAGAAGTTGGTATTAAGGCTGGTCTTGGAGCTCTGGTGGTTCCAGAACAGTTGAGTTGACAGAGGAGAATGGAGGTTGTGGCTTGGGCTAATAAATATTATTGCCTTTTTCCTTGAACAGAATAAGTGCATGAAAAATTCCATTTCTCAGTTTCCTCATGGAGAGGGAGAGAGGTTGATTAATGCATCTACTAGTCCAACCTCTTGAGGTTTCCAAGCTTCTGGCATTTGTCTCATCAGTTGTGAAGCAGGTAACTCTAACGTATTCTTGCTGTCCATAGATAGAATGAAGGAAGTTGCTGGGGTTAATAGATAACATAGTTTGCTCCCCACCTGAGGCTCAGCGCAGAGAAAACAGACAAAAACCACTGCTGCCTGTTGTTTTCCTAATGAGGAAAGCATTTGAGAGAGGGCCACAGAATCTCTAGAGCAGTGGTGGTGAAGCTTTCAGTGTTACAAATAGCTCACTGTAGCACACGTGCCATAGGGCTGCCTCCTATGCCTGAGTCAGGCTGATGACGAGTCTTCTTCTATGTGAGGCCCCTCTGTGAAGACTGGGGGAGGTCCCTGCCTTGTATAATACGGAAGCATCAACAGAGCTTTAAAAGGATGAAAAATCAGGTGAAGGTATTCCACACCTGAAAAAAGTCTCCAGAAATGGTCCCAAATAAAATGGATCTGTGTTATTTACTTAAAAGATCACCTCTCATACGGATGTTCATTGAGGTCAAAGCAACAATGCATAAACAGAATGAGGATTTCCTCAAAGATACAAAAAAATATTAAAAAGGACCTTATCTTTAGCTCAATGAGGAGCTAAAGAACACAAAAATTGACCTGAAAAAATCACCTCAGGGGCTCAGTAGCAGACTAGATCAAACAGAAGAAAGGATCAGTAGATTTAAAGATTATTGGAAGTGATTCAGTCAGAGGAATAAAAAGGGAAAAAACATGTCAAGAAAGTGTAAGGAACATATGGGACAAAGGACCAACATGCTTCTGGAGAGTGGCAGAGAAGAGAAGAGAGAGAAAGTAGAAGATAACATATTCAAAGAAATAATGAATGGCTGAAACTTCCCAAATATTGAGAAAGAAATGGATATTAAGATCCAAGAAGCCCAGACTATATCAAATAACATGATCCAAAGAAAATTCATACAAAAATACACTATAATCAAACTGTCAAGTGAAAGAAAATTTTGAAGCCTGCAAGAGAAGATAATTTATCACATACAGAGGAATTTCTTTAAGACTAGCAATGGGTTTTTCCACAGAATTGTAAGCTAGAAGGGATATTCAAAGTGCAAAAATGGGGAGAAAAAAAATCCCTCTGAGCTAAGAATACTACCCCTGGATAAACCTTCCTTCAAAACTATGAGCAATAATTACTTTGCAAGACAAACAAAAACAAGAGAATGTATCACTACTAGATTATCCTTACAAGAAATGCTACAGAGTTCTTTAAGTTCTATAAAAGGGAGAAACTCATATAATTCCCCAAATTATATATTTTGTTGTTTCAAAAATATTTTAATGTATATGATAATTTGTTCTATTTACAGTACTAGTATATCTTAGATTGTTGAAGAGGAAGTTTTGGGTTGTTATCTGTTTGTTTCTTTTGTGTAAGAATCTGTATGGTTTGTGTCTTACACTCTGAGTACAAAATAATCTACTTTGAAGATAACAGTATACAATGTATTAACTAGAAACAATACCTCATAGCATGAGAACACATGAAAATGTGAAATTTATTGGCAAAGGCAACTATATAGACAACAGAGAATACTAAATTTAAGCAATGCGGTTGAGTAAATTATTATTATTATTATTATTATTATTTTTATTATTATTTTCATTTTTTTGTTTTTTTTCCGGTACCAGGAATCAAACTCATGACCTTGCGCTTGCCAGGCAGGTGCTGTGCCACTGAGCTAAATCCCAGCCCACGATTAGTTAATTTTTGTATGAGTTAAAATTAAAATATTGAAAGAACTATAAAATATATTGAAGGATACATAGTATGAATAGGTATATGCTGTAACAATAATAATATAAAATGCATGTGTGTGTGGAGAGATGAAAATGTAAAGCTTGCTATTCATTTAAAGTACACCGATATAAAATATTCTGCATAAACCCAACGTAAGCCCCCCACACTGTCGTTGCTGATGTTACAGACAAGAAAAAGAGACAGTTATCAAAGCATATCATATAAAAAAAATCCAAGCAAGCAGAGGAAGACAACTAGAGAAGAAAAGACAGACAAAAGATCTATAAGAGTGACAGAGAACAACTGACACAACGTTGATCAAACTATCTGTTAGTAAGTTATGTTAAATGGAGGAGATGGATTATACTTTTCAGTAAAAACTTTGAATGGCAAAATAAATTTTAAAATGGTCAAATTATATGCTACGTTTTAGAAATTCATTTTAGATATAAGAACACATATAGATTGAAAATAAAGTGATGTTAAAAGATATTCCATGCAAATGATAACCAAAAAGAAGACATTTTATAATTGTAAAATATCAATTCATCAACTAATTTTTAATGCAGCATGGCACTTATAAATCGATATGAACAAATAAAGCCAACTGAAGGAGAAATGGCAATACCAGTATCAATAGGAGACTCCAGTACTCCACCTTCAATAATGGATGGAATATTCAGACAGACAATAAGGTAACTGAATTTGAGCAACATTATGGAGGCAATAAATGTAACAGACATACACAGAAGCATCTATTTAAGGTAACAGAATACATAG